TCAGACAGCTTGGGATGATAGGTTGTTTAAAAGTGACCAGGGGTGAGTTATAGAAGGATATGGAGCTGCAGAGGACCCTTGACCACAAACTGCACCTCCCTCACCCACGTTGTTAGATCGGGAGTTGGCGCACCGCTCTTTTGGAAAGTCTTTACCAAATGACAACTAAACACACACCTCCAAATTCATGATAACTTAAACCCACAAACTATCAGTGAAGTACAGTTATATATGGTGGGGGAGGGTGAGCCCATTCCTGTGAAACACATTTAATATTGTTTATGATAGTTACGTTCTCTGTTACTTTCACACTGTAGTTATCCTGCACTGTAGCCTCTGTGCTATTTTGCCTTTTGCTTCATTAACAAAGAGTAAATGATTCACGCCACTCAGACAAATTAAACCTGTAACTTATCTCTTCTGAGCACACACAAGATATACTTGGAGTTGCATGTAAGTATTCACACACATCCGCACACAGGTACATCCAGCCATTGTGTATTTGAAGTGGCAACCTGCTGTTTTCGTTTCGCCGGGTCTCCTGTGTCTGTCAGGGGCATCTGATATCGCTGTTTAATGAGCAGAAGCTCTCCTCACGCTTGCTTCTAGTCATGTCTGCTGTTGCTGCTCTGACCAGAGGAGACATGCAGGTCTGTGTCCCAGGGCTAATTGCTGCTACTTGGCTGATAGTCTTTCTGTGCTCCACTCTCATTGACTCCCCGGACTCCAGGGGGATTCCCACTGGCACCCAAAGACAAACAGACCCGGGCGTACAATCAATAAGGGATGCAAGAGTTACCGCTCAGCGCAGCAGCTGATTAAGATTCTCTGTGAAGGTGTGTGTGTATGTACTGTGTAAGTGTGTGCATGTGAAGGTGTTTACTGATTGTCCACACTTCGTCAGAGCTAACTGGAATCTTCAGCCAGTCCCTGAGTGCTTGTTTATGTGATTTTGATTAAGACTATCACAGAGTTCAGGGGCGTCCTCACGACAACACTGCGTTCATGCTCCCGCCACATCTCAACAATATGAGAAATGAGGCCATGTGTGCACCTCAGTGTGAGGCCTGATAGTGCCAGAGTGTGCTAGAACAGTATCAGTAAGCATAAGGTATTGCTTTTAATTGTCTTGGTGAAATATATCACATCAATAAACCATACAAATAAATGAAAATGTCAAAAAAAAAATCTCCATGAAAGTACAGTAAATGAAGTTATTGAATCATCACCTCCTTTTTGAAATTTTAACCACCAAATGTAGCTTAATTGAAATATAGTTTTGCTTTTTTTTCTTAATCTGCTATTTATATTAATTTAACATTAAAAGGCGACACTGTTTATAGCACCGTATCATCAAATAGCACAGCAACTTATTTCAAGCAGAATTTAAACCATTGCGATTGTAGTGCTGGACATTTGGGTAAAAACTGTGCTCTTACTAACAAAAATGTTCTTGTCAAGATGTGAGATTGTTTTGCATATATTGTTCTGGTGGTTAAAGAAATTCAGAAAAGCTGCCTATGGCTTCATGTGTCCCAGTGTGCGACTGACTGCCGCTGGCTAGCAAGCAAGGCTGTGGTGCGGTGTCTTCTTGCCTCTCCTTGCCCTTTCTACTCCTCCATTCCCTCTCCTCCCCTTCGCTCTTGCTTATGTTTGCTTTTGTTCTTGTCTCCAGCCCGCTTGACTCACAACAATGATCTTGACCAAGCGCATGGAAAGGTCAAGGTTGGTCAGCAAATTGCCTCAAAGCAATCAGCCTTGTCTCTCTGCACTATTAGTGTGCGTTCTCTGTCTCTGTCGCGATCTCACCATCTTTTTTTTCTCCTTCTCCATCTCTGTGTTTACCCAGGGGTGGGCTGGTTCTGCTTTGAAGTCGGCTATGGGCTGGGGGGGGGGGGACTTGAAAGCACCGAGCGTCACCGCCTGGGTGACATTTCAGCACAGGCCAGCGTGACCCAGTATAGGGTGCTTATGTGTATGTGTGTAGTGTGTGAATATACAGTGGCTTAGGAAAGTGATTACACCCCTTCACTTTTTACATACTTTATTGTGTTGTAGACCTATTTTTAAATCGATCTACACTCAGTAACCCATAATGATAAAGTGAGGACATGTTTTGAAATGTTTTCATTATTAATCAAAAACTGAAATCTTTCATTTATTCTCAAGTATTCTCACTCTTGGAAGCCACTTTGAGTTAAAGGCATATGAATTCCTGCTTGGAATTTGCCCAGTGGCATTTACTGCACTCTGACAGCATGAGACAAAACATTCTCTGGTCTGAAGAGACAAAATTGAACTCTTAGGGCTAGGGATGTCCTGATCCAGTTTTTTTTTTTTGGCTCCGATATCAATCCGAGTTTTTTAATATTAAGTCAATATTGATTCAGATCTGATACATACATATACATATATATATACAGTGGTGTGAAAAAGTGTTTGCCCCCTTACTGATTTCTTATCTTTTTGCATGTTTGTCACACTGTAATGTTTCAGATCGTCAAACAAATTTATATATTAGTCAAAGATAACACAAGTAAACACATCATGCAGTTTTTAAATGAAGGTTTTTATTATTAAGGGAAAACAAAATCCAAAACTATAGAGCCCTGTGTGAACAAGTGTTTGCCCCCCTGTCAAAACACTGGTTTATCGCACCTGAGTTCAATTTCTCTTGCCACACCTGTTCGCAATCAAGAAATCACTTAAATAGGACCTGCCTGACAAAGTGAAGTAGACCAAAAGATCCTCAAAAGCTAGACATCATGCCGAGATCCAAAGAAATTCAAAAACAAATGAGAAAGAGAATAATGGAGCTCTATCAGTCCGGAAAAGGTTATAAAGCCATTTCTAAAGCTTTGGGACGGCAGCGAACCACAGTGAGAGCCATTATCCACAAATGGCGAAAACATGGAACAGTGGAGAACCTTCCCAGGAGTGGCCGGCCGACCAAAATTACCCCAAGAGCACAGCGACAACTCATCCAAGAGGTCACAAAAGACCCCACAACAACATCCAAAGAACTGCAGGCCTCACTTGCCTCAGTTAAGGTGAGTGTTCATGACTCCACCATAAGAAAGAGACTGGGCAAAAATGGTTTGCATGGCAGAGTTCCAAGACAAAAACCACTGCTGAGCAAAAAGAACATAAAGGCTCGTCTCAGTTTTGCCAGAAAACATCTTGATGATCCCCAAGACTTTTGGGATAATACTCTGTGGACAGACGAGACAAAAGTTGAACTTTTTGGAAGGTGTGTGTCCCATTATGTGTGGCGTAAAAGTAACACCGCATTTCAGAAAAAGAACATCATACCAACAGTAAAATATGGTGGTGGTAATGGGATGGTCTGGGGCTGTTTTGCTGCTTCAGGCCCTGGAAGACATGCTGTGATAAGTGGAACCATGAATTCTGCTGTGTACCAAAATATCCTGAAGGAGAATGTCCGGCCATCCGTTTGTGACCTCAAGCTGAAGCGAACTTGGGTTCTGCAGCAGGACAATGATCCAAAGCACACCAGCAAGTCCACTTCTGAATGGCTGAAGAAAAACAAAATGAAGACTTTGGAGTGGCCTAGTCAAAGTCCTGACCTGAATCCAATTGAGATGCTGTGGCATGACCTTAAAAAGGCAGTTCATGCCCGAAAACCCTCCAATGTGGCTGACTTACAACAATTCTGCAAAGATGAGTGGGCCAAAATTCCTCCACAGCGCTGTAAAAGACTCATGGCAAGTTATCGAAAACGCTTGATTGCAGTTGTTGCTGCTAAGGGTGGCCCAACCAGTTATTAGGTTTAGGGGGCAAACACTTATTCACACAGGGCTTTGTAGTTTTGGATTTTGTTTTCCCTTAATAATAAAAACCTTCATTTAAAAACTGCATGATGTGTTTACTTGTGTTATCATTTTCATTTAAATAATTGTCATGCAAATGTATTTAGATTTCTATTTGGAATGCAGCGCTTATATGTAAACTGTCATGCCAATAAATCATATTGAATTGAGAGATTTTTGTCAAAAACATTTTATAACTTCAAAATGTGTCTGTAAGAAACAAATCCTCTTCATTGACTGGGTTAAAAAAAGTCAACTATGCAACTATGTGCATATTTACCGGTCAGGACATTAATTGACATTGCTCAACAATTGTGCCACTGTGATGCAGCTGATGCCCGTGTTATAAATACACTCTCAGTAACTAGATCCAGTACACAGATACTGCTTGAGCCATACCTGCATGTCACAGATGATATGATTTTCTGAACACACACACACACACACACACACACACACACACACACACACACACGAGTCAAGGACAGCCTCCAGTGGGTCAGCTGTTGGTTCCAGGCCAGTGTGCCTGAGTGGCTTTCCTCTGATGGCGTCACACACATGAAAGACTTCACTTTAATGTGCCACACAGTACCCACACACTCAGTGAAATGACATCAAAGCCTGTCTGTGGCCTATAGCTGGATGAAGGTCTTCATCAACTGGACGATGGTGTGTGATGGGTAAACAGGTGTTAACATGTCGGCCCACGAGAAACCACGTCGCTGTGTCATGATCTTCTGAACAGCTGTCCCCTCCAATGTGGTTGAGTGTATGTGAGAATGTGTTAACTGTAAGGGTTATAAATGGCTGTAAGAAGAGCTTTAGCCCTAGATTTTGTGCAAAGCCAAGGGCAAACAAAGAGAAAGGGCAACGAATGAAATGGAGCTTTATGGCAATAACTGATTTTCTCAACAACACGTGCTGTGTCTTTCACTTTGTGTAAAGGTGTGAATAAGAGTGAGCTTGAAGGTGATGCAGTGGATATCAAGAGAGGTTGTCCAGTAAACCAAAAACAAAACAAAACCAAAAAAATCCTTCTTCATTCAACGACTGATTGTTTTGACAAATGCCCTTGAGCAAAGAACAAAAACACTAACCCCTCTCTCTGTCAATATCTCTGAAAAGGATCAGCCAATAATGCTTAATGTAAATGTGAATTTCTGACCTCAGGTGGCGTTTGAGAAGCTGGACTACCACCACCTCCTGCCTCTGTTCTTTGATGGCTTATGTGAGACTGCTCACCCATACGAGTTCTTAGCCCGCCAGGGAGTCCATGACTTGTTGAAGAACGGTGGCCCAAAGATCCAGCCTGTCGTTCCCCAGCTCATCATCCCCATCAAGAGTAAGTCGGAAAGGTTTCTGCACTCACGCTTTATCAGTCACAGACAGACAAATATCTACTGTGTGTACCATAAAGCTCTAAAGGATGTACTTTAAAAGAACAGTACTATTAATGTTAATGTTCAATATTAAAATACATCAGGATTTATTTCTAGACACATCACCATATTTTTATTAATTACACATAATGGTGGTCTCAAACTCTTCTCAGACAATATTGCTGTTACAATAGGATGTAAGCAAAATAGAACAACATACTTTACCAGGAATGGACTCACCTGCCCTACACACTCGTATGACAACAGATTCTAACACTACCATACAAACACTCCTGTGACAAGTCCTAATTTGGTTTTGCAGTCACACTGTTGCTATTATTACATTAACTCTCAGGGCAAACTGCCCTTGTTTTTGCATTTGATGGAAGAAGTTGCCTCTAAAAGCATGCCTGATAATCTGCCATAAATGTGGTGACATATCATAGTGTGGTGCCTTCTAACCCCCCCCCTTCCACACACACACACACACACACACACACACACACACACACACACACACACAAGATGGAGGGGGGGGGAAAGGTTGTGTAACACACACACACACACAAGATGGAGGTGGGTGGAAAGGTTATGTCTCAGAGCGAAGTGGTCTCCAGAAATAGACATCGAAATTTATATTGATGTGGACAGGTAAGGTTTCTTGTGTGGTGAACACAAGGAGGATCGAGGTACAGAATACAGACTGGGGCTTTTGTTAGAAAATTATAGCACACATGCAGCAGGACACAGTCCCACACACACACTGTCTTTTGTTAGGCGCCGCTGCCAAGTGGAGTGTCAGTTTCAAAGTGGGAGCCCTTAAGTGGTGCCCAGCGAGCCTGGGATAGGGTTCCTGTCATGGGCAGTTGGCCGGTGGTGTGTAAGTGCTTCTGAAGTGTGTACGTGTCCGTTGTTTATGTGCAACTGTGAGAGACACAGCAACATGCACTGACAGACTGATCCCACCCAGCACAACGCCTGTCTCTCCACTACATATTGCACTACGAGCTATTAAGCATTATACAAATTACAAACTGATTCATGTACTGTACAGTCTCATATTTGCATGTATGTTAATACATTTTTAAATGCAGCCTGGAAGGCACATGCTTACACAGCATGTTGGCTACGTGTTGGGTGCTAAGCCATTAAGAGCTTTGAACACACAAAGCAGGATTTTAAAATGTATTCTAAAAAAGACGGAGCCAGCAAAACTGGAGAAACATGTTATGTATGCTTAGTTTTAGTGAAAAGTCAGACTACAGCATTCTAGATCAACTGTAGATCCTTTAGTGATTTCTTAGAAAGGCTTGAGAACAGCCCACCCGATCAGGTGCGTGCATGTGTGGTTATAAGGTGCAACATGCATTTGACATGCTGTCACGTCTTTTTTATTTGTTTGTCTTGGTGCCAGTAATGCCATTTTTCACACAACCTAACCTTTTACATACAGCAATCAGGAGTTGATAAATTCAAAGCCCTCAGCAGTTTTGGTCATTTGCCTTTGGGATGCCAGACCAAAGGTGACGGTTATGCTCATCATGAAAACATACACTTCCCACTGATAATGGAATTTTAAATGGCCTGCTCCTTATTAACTTCTTGGTTTATTAAAAATCAGGCCTGTTTCGCCATCCACAAGGCAAAGCTGTCAGTCTGTGTCTGTGATGCAGATTAATTACTTTTCTATGGAACAGAGGAGAAGAAGGGATGGTGGAAAGAGGACCAAAGTAAAAAGCCGTGTGCAGTTTAAAATGGCAAGATATATATTTTTCTTCCCTGATGTTAATACATCCTCAGTGTGGCTGGCAGGCTCTTATCTGCGGAGCGACTGAGTCACGTCAGGCCCTGGTGAATTTTGATGATGACTGCAGGTCACCCAGTGAGAATACACAATGAAGAAGGCTCTGGCTGACATTATACTCTTAGGCTCTGTCCTCAGTGACTTAAAGGCTGAACTCTTTCCTGCTCTACAGCCTGTTCCCTTCACTAGAGAAATGACCTATGGGGGGAAAAATGATTGAGGGCTAAGAAAAAGAAACTAGAAATTATGAGTTATGGATATAAAACAATACTATGGTTCTGATGAATTTTATTTTTGAACAACAGCGAAGGTCTATGGCACAGACAAATATGCTAATCAAGGACTGACACACTGACAGACATCAACAGTGAATAGAGTCTGTATGGAGATTGGTGAAAATACAATTAATATAGAAAATGTCTGTCCTTATCCTTTAATAGTATTGTGGTGAAATAAGCAGAACGGTTGGAATGTTACTGAAAAGCTGTGGTCTGGGATTTTCTTGCTTCTTTAAATAGGCAGAAGGATTCGGAGCCATGTCTCCACTGAGCCTCCGCTGATTGGCATTACATTTGTTCAGCTTTAAACCGAAATGAGACTTTCATTACAAGAAGATCCTCATGGGAACATCTTCTTCGGATCTGAACAGTATATTTATACACTGAACAAGAACGAGTCACTGTTAAAATCTCCAGCGACTCATCCATGCCTCTGACATTACACAGGAAGCAGAATACAAGGTCACCATTGTTTCATTTTCACACCGAATATGAAACAGGTCCTAGCATGAATAGATGATTAGTTTGTTCAGGTTTGTCGCAACACTGATTTATTTATTTTTTACCAGCATTAAAATATCAGGCCCTTGGCTGCCTTCTCCCCTGCTCTTGTAATTCTTTTGCATTTTCTTCTTTTCAGCAAGACGAGAGCGCTTGAATAATTGAATAGTCCCACGGTCCAAATGTCACAGCCGGGAAAATTGTTTGCACTGGCTGGTAATTAGAATTTCATTGTTTGTTATGCAGGTTTGAAGTTTCTGTCATTCTGCATTTTACCTTATCTTAGTGATGGCAGATATGTCTATGCTTGTCTGTCTGGTGAGACACTAAGGAGAGATGGAGCGATGGCGTGAAGCACAATACATTTACCCATTCAGCATCATCCCCACCACTGGTCCTCTGTGGGCCTCACACACACACACACACCGTCACTGACGCAGACAAAGACATGCATAGACAGCATTGTCATACAATCAAATGGGCACAAAACAATGGCCCTGGTTCAACTGGTCATTGTATTAACCCACAATGAACAGTGTGTAAAATGTTTGATTCCTTTTACCCATCAGCCTCCTGTTGTTTCTAGGACTCTTTTACATTGTATAACATCTTTCATATTTTGTCGCTGCCACGTTCAGCGCTGTCTGTGCTCATGACTCAGGCTGACATTTTGTCTAATTACTTTTACGTAATGTGTTTGTTGGAATGTGTGTCCATGTGCGCATCTGATTGCGTGTTTGTTAGTACGTGAGTGTTTTATGTCAGTCTATGTGTTTATGCTTGTGACAGCTTTGTATCTGCATATGAGCTGTTTTAATACATGCAGCGGGTGATGCACTGTGCTCTGACTGTCACACGGTATTTTAGGGTTGTTGCTCTCTTTCTGTCTCAGTCGGTTTTTTTCTGTTAATTTGAGTGTAGTGCTATAGGTGACGAGTGTTATGTCATTCCCATTGCTAGTCTTACTGGTGTGGCTTATTGGTTTGCTACTTTACCATTATTTTTACTGCTTCTATTGACTGATTTACTAGAAACACAAAGGAATTCTAGAGTCAACAATGCTTTGTTATTGTCTATAAAGAAAATAGCCTCCACTTTAGCAACAATGTTAGTAGCTTTGTGAACACTTTAACTACAGCTGTGGTACAAATGCATTGGAACTTAATGTTGATTAGATTGCCGACGTATACTCCCTAGTTGGAAATTCGTATTGCCTTTCTTTTTTATAAATATATTGATGTTTTATTGTGTCTTGTTTTCAAAGTATCTTAATTCACCACAACAGACTGATTGTTATCTTTTATTTCATTAATCTGCATGTCACCGGGGATGGAATTTAGCTTTCAGTTAGCTTGTATCTGTTGTAATAATGTATCGTGTATTGTCCTTGTTAAATAACAATAAAATAAATGTTGCTTTAGCTCTAGTGCCACAGCAGCACTCGTCCCCATGTGCATATCTAGTCTTGCAGTGAATTAGAAGGAAAGGGAAACTGCCATTTGTGCTGTGAGGATTAACATGACTGCAGCTCCACCCCCATGCACAAGCAGGTGTAGAGACAGAAAAATTAATTTCAAGAGGGTTAAAGTATGAAGTTTATGTTTTTCAACTCCCATAAACTCAAATTTCTTAAGTGCTTTCAGCAGCACCTGTTGTAACAGAGTTTCATTATAGAGTGTACAGATATTCTGCATCTTCATTATTTCTCTTTAAGGCCAGTAAAGCAGGCTTAAAGCAAGCTACTGTAGTCTTTTGTCATTTTTAAGCGTATATTGCCAAATTAAAAATCGCCTTTATTCAGCTTCAGGCCAATTTTTCAATTATTTTTCTCTCCTTTACTACCTCTCTCTCTCATTTGGTGCCACATTTTTCTCCTTTCTGCCGTTCTGCTCACACATTAGCTGTTTTCTTTTGTCTCTCTTTTTAAATGTTTTTCATGCTTTTCAGTTTTGCTGTCTGTGCTTAATGGCAAAATCATTGCTATGATGAAAATAGGCATCACATGACAGAAACAGCTCATGTCTGCGCTATGGTTATGATGCTTCAGACTGCAACAACCCACGCTGATGCAAGTTCACTTAAAAAATTAAAATGTCACAAATAAAATGCGCGCAGAGTAGTAGAATAATATGTCTTATTTGCTTATTACAGTTATTTTCAAACCCTTTGCCCTCTGTTTGTCATGTCCCTTTAACTGGTTTTGACATTGTTTCTTTGGTTGTTTTCCCCTCTTCTCTCTTTTTCTCTGTATATTTGTCTCTCTTGATCTTTCTGGCCCTCCATCTCTCTCCCCATCATTCCCTTTTGTTCTCTCTATCGGTAGGAGATGGAGTTACAGTGCAGCTGAAGGCCAAATAGCCCGGTGATTGGCTTTCACTTACTCCTGCCTTCCCAGTGCATTTGGAAGCACTGATTGCAGACAAGTCAGTCTAAATCAAAGCCCAGCTATAAAGGAAATGCTTTCAAGGGAAAGGGAGTGTGTGGGTGTTAAGATTTATGTGCATTTTGGCTGTGTGTGTCTGTTAAGACCACTCTCATGTGTCATATAATTGCAGACATCACAATCACTCTGCATTTACTGTTCCTTCACCCGTCTGAATAAACAACCTGTAAATCTAGTTTACATCCCAAATCCTGGGTCAAAAACTGACTTGCTCTTTGTCTTTGCAGCCATTTTTTCTTGACCTCTAGCTTTAGCTGAGCTGAGCTTTGATTCCTGACCTGCCATTTGTGCCATTTGTCCTGCCATCCAGATGCCCTGAATACAAGAAATCGTCAGGTGATCTGCACCACGCTGAAAGTCCTGCAGCATCTGGTGATGTCTGGAGACATGGTGGGAGAGGCCCTGGTGCCCTACTACAGACAGATCCTCCCTATTCTCAACATCTTCAAGAACATGAACAGTGAGTTCCAGCCATGCAAATGGTCGGGTGATAATTTATGGACAGATTGCGTGTCAGCATGATGTGTCTCTGCGCTTTTGTGTGAGCAGTCTTTGTGTAAGCTGTGTATAAGAAATCATTTTTATGCAAGTACTGCTGCTGTGTCAGTGAATTGAAGAACAGCAAACATTGGTTAGCCTGCAGCCAGGTATTCATCCTGTGTTGTTTTCGTGGTTAAATCAGGTGATTCCACAGAGCTTCTCAGTTTGTGAAATGTTATGCAGGTGTTAAGTGCCTCTTTTTGTTTGGTTTTTGAGACTGCCAGGCACAAAGCACCCTGTTTTCTGCCTATTCTTTTCTCTGGAGATCTTCTATGTGTCTATCTCTGAGTCCTTTTTCTTTTTCCTCCCTCCACTTAAACATCCACTTGACAGAGGAGCTCCATTTTGTCTTTTCTTCTGTCAGTCAGGCTATAGTGTGCGGCGTTGTTGAGGAGACTTTGTCCTTGCTCTCTCTGAAAGCCTCCACCAGGGTGACACCAGGACCTGAGGAGATTGGGATCAGATAGGCAGGGCTCTTTGTTTGGCTGTGTCAAAGCACTTAGCATGGTGTGACTTGACGTGGGCCCATTGAAGACTTAGAGGCACAACCCGTCCCAAACACCACTCACCACACAGTCAGTGGGATGTGGAGACTGACATTGTGGATCAATCATTTAAACACAGGCTTTAACAGGAGAAAACACAAGGCTTTAGTCTCTTAATCAATATCCAATTTGAATCTCTTGTCTCTTTAATTTGCTTACATTATCTGTTACTATTTGCTAAGGTTTAAAAAAAAAAAACGAAGGGCAGAGTTGAAAGAAATAGCACGGAAAGACAAAGGATGGAAAGGAAAAGCCTGCCTTATTAGCGCATGGCCTTATGCAAATCTCCTCTGTAAATTAGCTGTCAAATAAATCCCCTAAAATGTTCAGCAGTTGGCTGGTGAACCCCACCAGGAATAGTTTTATCTCTGGTAGTTACCATGCTGGCCCTCCTACCTGCCTGTCTGTGTGTCTGTCCTACTCTGGCACGCATCGATTAAACGTGAGCCAACCTGTCACCTGGCAGATATCCCTGCTATTGACCTTTCCTGAGGGGCCAGAGAGGGTCCATATAGCTGCCAAAGTACAGGACCCAGTCTGCTAAACAAGAACTCTGCTTCCTGTTCAGCAATTTATAGATACCCACTAAAGGTTCTCGCTTTTTAAAGCTTAGTTAGAGTTGAAGCTGATACAGAAAGTTTAACCGAAGTATAAGTGTAAGTGAATGCTCTAAGTAGATACAGTAGATAGAAATCTTAGTGTTATTATTTCTCCATTTGGAGCTTCAGTGTTAGATGAGCTGTCAATTCATGTCCTGCACCACCCACTCTCTGCTAACACAGAAAGATTCAAATAAAGAGAACAGACACTTCTTTTTGGGGACTAAATACAGTGTGAACCAAAAGTCTTTCTCTCTCTCTCTCTCGCTCTCTCTCTCTGTGTCTCTGTCTCTGTTCTGTTTTATGTGGCTTGTTTATATTAATATCAAAGCTTTCATTGAAGTCCATCTATTATCTAATATCGCTTATATACACCTCCAGCTCCATCCCACGCTCAGTTGGCTGTCTCAACTGGAGCCAGCCTGCTGCCTCTAGCAGACAGGCGCAATCATTGTGTTTAATACACTAGTAGACACAGAGGACTGTCTAGTAGTGTGTGGTAACATTTCCCTTTGGCTCTCCCACACTGTAACTCACAGAGACATGGCATCCCTCTTATCTCCTGAGCCGCAATGGGGCCACTGTCCAGCATGTGCCAAGTGTGTGTATCAACATTTGTGTACATCTGTCATGAGCTGATCTGTTGTGTCCCATATTCAGCTGTTGGATTCAGTGTAGAGGAAGGCCCTGGCTTTCTGTTTCTGTCACTCACTTCACAGTTGTTTGGGCCTACCAGCCTTGAGCACATAATGCTCTACTAGATGTCCACTACATGCTCATGTATATGCACAGACACATCTCAGTTGAAGCTGTAGTACACAACCTGACTCTGTTCCTGTCCCCACCAGTTGTTGAAAGTGCGAATCAATAGGCTGACAGCCGCTGCTGTAAGGTCAGGGCCACAGTTAGATATCACCAGCATCTCATCATGGGACAGATCCCCTAGGCTTTGTTCACACACTCCCACTGTGTTGCTTCCACTTTGAGACAGGGTTGTGACTTGTTAAATTGCTCTGTATGCAGGCTTTATCTGAGCCATTTTTCCAGGGTCAGAGCTGGAACTTAGCAGCCATCTCCAAAATGGACCCTTGGGGATCTTTTCACTCAGAGTGCTGAATCTCTGACCAGGAGAACACACTCGTGACCCACATGCTCAGCTTCTCTGGGATCCAGGCCTCCGACGAAGGACCAACGCCATTGTTCAAGGAAACAATATGCCTGTTTAACTCCAGGCAGCCGGCTGCCATTGTTACCGCTGACATGGTAATGCGTCATCCTGAATTGCACAGTAATGAGCAATTACATAGCATCACTGTCCTTGATGTACCCTTTTGTCTCCTGAATCAGCTCTCACAGCTTTTGTTTGCTTTGTGTCTTTTGCATACAAGCTGTATTTGTGTATGTGCAGGAATTCCTCCAGTGTGATTTGCACAACTCTTTTGTTTGCTTGCTGTGATGAATCTTATCCCTAATGAAATGCAACAACGTTCCTTATGAAGGAGAGATGTGCTCCGTCATCCAGCAAATTCCTCTTGTGGGCTTGAAGGAGGGAGCGAACTCATAGGGACACTGAGTTTTATAAGAACATATTCCTGGGTCTTGAATAAGGATCTGATGGGAGGCAGTACTGACTTTATTTAGTGGATCTGATACTGGCCAGACATGACCGACCTACATTAACATTAATTCTTTCTCTCATTGACTATGTTTACATGGACATGAGCATCCATATTCAGCATATGGTGTTTACATTGAACACAGAGAAACCTGGTTATGCATACGTATCCCTCTATACATGATAAAAACTAGTATCCTGTTTTACTGTTGTGTTACTTCTGTATCCATCTATATGAATAGCCTATATTATAATTAGGAAAATGTTTTGTTAAAACTGTATTTAGTTTGTTTGTTTTTCATAATGAAAAAGCTTGAGGATATCCTACACGCTAACATTAATAACCGTTGGGTATCTTAACACTACCTCTAGTTGATTCGGCGTGGGGGCTGCTGTGGCTCAGGAGGTAGTGCAGGTCATCTCCTAACTGGAGGATTAGCGGTTCAATTCCCGGCTCGTCCAGTCAACATGTCGAGGTGTCCTTGAGTGAGAGACTGAACCCCCAGTTGCTCTCGGTGATGACAGTGGTGTGTGAAAGTGTGAGCATTTGGGAATGCGAATGGGTGAATGGCCAAGTAGTGTGAAAGCACATTGAGTGTGCTGTAAAGCGTAGAAAAGTGCTATACAAGTATAAGATTGTTTATCCATGTACAGTAAATGCACTTATTGCCATGATACTGGAATTTGATTGGTGCTCTGTATTTATTAGAATTGGTTTCAGGAAAACAAAATGCCAGATGTGTGCAGCTGTATTGTTGAACACGGTTAGAGCCTAATCAAAATTGGATTCATTTTATGAGAATCATTCACAACATGTCAGTTGATATTCTTTCCCTTTTACCTGCACACACAGCATATAAAGTATACATTTTGTGATGAAGATATTTCAACATCATTAAAATGTAATTTCTTAAAAAATTACACAAAAACAATTGTAATAATTAGCGCATCACAATATCGCAACATTTTTACCTTCTCATAGTGTGTGTGTCTCAGTCACGTGATGCGAAGCACAGAGAATAGCTTGAGGATTTGTTAGAGAATGTTTTTGTCTTTCAGCTTTGCTATTCCATAGACTACACAAGTAAAACATACAAGGCTGAGGAATACATAGGAGGATGTTTTTGCATGCCATCTTCAGCCTCTACATTGCTGTACATTATGTCAGAACATAGATGATGTTTCCCTGGAGAACCTCCCTGGGAGAACCTCCCTGGTATTTATTTGAACCTGCACTGTAGCACCGGTGTTGCTGTCCTGATGATTTTCTCTGCTTATCTGTAAGGTGTAGGTTCTTAAACCCCTATTCATCACTGACAAACCCTCTCACACATACACGCACACACTCACACGCCCATACATATACTGCACACACATGCTGTGGTGATCTGGTTCATTTGGCCTCCTTTATCTTCCAGCTAGGAATGTGGTCAGCTATGATAAGATCTCACCCTCATGCACTGCTGAGCCTGTACACACACAAAAACAGACACAGAGGCTGCGATAGTGGCTCTCTGTTCTGTGCCTGGGCGACTGGTGGGGTTTTTGTGTTGGTGACAGATGCAACCCTGTGGCTGGCCGCTGTGCCTGTTTTATCTGTGTATCACATGACACACATGCACATGCACTCCCAGCTCATGCTGGATGTCTTTATGAATACGGGGGATCAGTTAGAGCTCACACTGATTGCTGGAATCAAAATAGACAAGATGAGCTGGCTGACCTCATTACCCTTCCCCTGGTCCATGACAGAAGGACAGGGACAGACATGAAGGCAAGGACATTTCAACTGCGGATGGAGCTCATGTACATGTAACTGCCATACTATGAAATGGATATAATGAACACACCAGCAAATCAAATCTAAAGCATTTGTCCCTACTTATTTTAATCTGGCAGAAGGCCAGGAGTATGCCGGTGCACTCAGCCACCTGTATTCTTGTCCACAGTACAACAAAATAGTCCTGCTTTACTGCCAGAAAGCTGCAGTTTGGTGTATGGTGCCGAAGTTTATTCCTGGGGATTCCCATTCACACACATTTGCTTTATTTAATGACCTTTTCCAGCTGCCACTGTGACAAATGAATATACTGCTATGCTTTCACTGTGTACATAGTGCCACAACGGAGGGGGCCATGCCCCCACCACACACACACACACA